AGCACCCTCTGCCCCAGCCCTGGCTCAGCGAAGCACCTGGCTCAGCGGCCGCCGCTCCTGGGCAGGTACCGGGGAAAACCTTCCAGCCCAGGCTGTTGCTGGGAGGCTGAGGCTGCAACAGCAAAAAAAAAAAAAAAAGCCTAGTTGATAAATGTCAAAAGAAATCCAGTAATCAGCTGAAAGCAATTTACTGAGCCATGTAAGCGCCCTGGGCTCGCCATTTTCCTTTATTCATTTATCATGGTAAGCGCTTTGGCCAAAATACACAAAGCAGAGGAATTGTTGACATGTGGGGCCCTAGCAGAGCAAATCCTTCATCCTCCTCCCCCTCCCCACTGCGAGCAAACTAACTTTTTGGGAGTTGTTTATTTAAGGACTGCAGAGCCCTCAGTGCTCTTTGAACCCCAATGCCTTGGGAGCGGGGCTGCGGTGCTGGCCACCACCTTCCTCCTCTTGCCATCGCCCGAGGCTGCGGGGAGGCCGTCTGCTGCTCTCGGGAAGTACCTGCTGGAGAGGATTTGAGCTACGTGAGGTGCTCAGAATCACAGAATGGTAGGGGTTGGAAGGGACCTCTGTGGGTCATCTAGTCCAACCCTCCTGCCGAAGCAGGGTCACCTACAGCAGGCTGTAGAGGACCTTGTCCAGGCGGGTCTGGAATATCTCCAGAGAAGGAGACTCCACAGCCTCCCTGGGCAGCCTGGGCAAGGGCTCCGTCACCCTCAGAGGGAAGAAGTTCTTCCTCAGGACCCCGTTCTGCTTCTACCTCCTCCACCCTCTAAAATGTGGCACCAGTGGCTGGCACGGGTGTGCCGTAACTGCTCAGGGAGGGCAGATGCTGGTTTCTGGGAAGTTCCCGTGTTGGCTTTTGGAACTGCTGGCCACAGCACGGGGCCGACGCGTGAACCCAAGGGGACACACCAGCCAGGAACTGGCTGCACCAAGGCTGCTCTTCCACAGCCCATTTTGACTTTATTTTAAGCAAAAATAAATGCCAAGGTTCACAGCAGGACAGCGCAGGTTTCCCTTGCGCGTGGTCCTTGCCTCTGCCAGGCTGTGAGGTGCCGGGAGGCAGCCGGGCTGGGGCACCAGGCGAACAGGGCAGCCTCCAGTCTGCCTTCCTGCTACTTTATTTTTAATCCTAGTTCACCCAGTTTTGTTGCCAACTGGATGAAGAACAGTGAGGAGAGTTCCCCCCTCCCTCCAGTACAATCCAAGGTGGGGAACTGGAGCAGCCCAGAGCTGCCCATGGCCCGAGGCTGCCGGCTCCGGGCAGGGATGGGGTGTGTTGCAGTCCGGCCTTGCTCGAGGTGGAAGTGTGGCCATCGGGATGGGGCTTATCCAAGCAGCTCCTTGGTCTTCGCTGCCAGCAGCTTGTCCATCTCCGCTGTGGCGTCGTCTGCCATTTGCTGGATCTGCGGCAACAGAGCACAAGTCTGAGTCGTCTGCTAGGCGATGCCAGAGTTGAAAGGGAAAGGAGTGACTGGATCACCTCCTGAAACACAGCCTGAAGTCCCAATAAAACCCAAAATAGTGCTGGGGCAGTAATGGCTCCCACCAGCCCTCAGCGCTGCTGTGCCAGTGTCGCTTCTGTGCGGTGCGAACAGGGACCGGCCAAAGGCTCTGAAGAGCAACGCACGACACCAGCTCTTGGCTGAGCTTCACAAGTGACCTGGTCAGGTCCTCATCTAACAGAGTGACTTCCAGCCA